TTTTGAAAAAAAGAGATCAATAGTGTTCCCACTTTCCTTCGGTGACTCAAACACATGACATATCGATCATATGTGAAACGCTTATCACTCAAGTTGCGCTTATTTGGTACTTAAATGTGAAGTGTTAAGTATTGTATAAAGAAAAGTATATCATTTCACAGTATAAGTGTGCATTTTTTTTTAAAAAAAAATACTAATATAGTACTTATAAGAGCTCGTTCGTCCGATTAGAGTGTTAGGCTCAGGTTAACGGCTCCAGGATAGGTCATATTTTTTTTTTTTTAAAAAAAAAGGAGTGTTTGTATTTTCTCACCTACTCCTAATTGTTGTTCTTGACATATGTTTGTAAATGGTTGCATAACCATTAGACAATCACATTTTCACACAATCATGCATATACATTACTATAAAGTGTCATATTTTTATTTAGGGAAAACTACATTTGATCCACTTAACTATAGAGTTTTTTTGCATTTTACCCATTCAACTTTTTTTTCGTGATACTTACCCATATAACTTTGCAAAAAATTGCACTTAACCAATTTCCAGCCATCGTCGAGAATCACTAAGGACAAAAATTGACTTTTCACTCATTCATTAAGTTGATGTTATTGCAAAATATACACTTTACCCACCCACCTATACATTTCTTTACACTTTACTCACTCAACGTTTTTTTTTTTATTTACACTTTGTCGTCAGAAATGACCGAACGATGGTTGAAAATTGGTTAAGTGCAATTATTTAAAATGTTATATGAATAAAATGTCACGAAAAATTGTATAATTAGGTAGGCTAAATGTAGTTTTCCCTTTTATTTATATTATGATTTAAAGTAACATATATATATATTGAAAGAGTATGACTACCTAAGACTAGTGATGGCAATGGGGAATTCCCCATCGGGTATTAACTCCCCATACCCATCCCCGCGAGAGAATTTTCTCCCCATGGGGATCCCCATTTATGCTTTCGGGGAGGATTTTCTCCCCATCTCCATTACCCGCGGGGATAAATCCCCATCGGGGATCCCCATACCCGCTAATTGTTATTGATATGTATTTTATTTATACTATGTAGGTGGCATAACATCACATGATATGATTTCAATTTATCACATTACATACATAATATGATATTATGTTTACATATTTAATATATTCTCATGTAATTACATCATCATTCATGTGTATGTATAAATATATTGGAATAACTAGCATGTATATTAGCTTAACGGGTCCCCGCGGGTAAACGGGGACGGGGATTGGTTCCCCATCCCCATACCCGTTTACCCGTCGGGGATGATTTTCTCCCCATTAGCACCCCCATGGGGGAAGATTTCATCCCATCTCCATCCCCTAATAGAGGAATTCCCCACGGGTAATCGGGGATCGGGTCCCCATTGCCATCCCTACCTAAGACTGTGTTTATCGGTGACCCCGTAGTTGGGTCACCAATAAAAAACAAAAGACAAATTAAAAAAAAAAAAAAAGAAAAAATTAAAAAATTCCGTGACCCTTGCGTGACCCAGGTCACAATGTGACCTAGGGTCACAACCGGTTGTAGGATGATTATTGGACACTTGTCCAAATTTTATTGGACAAGTATATTTTTTTAAATAAGATGAAACTTAATTTGTATTTTTATGGAGTAATTTATATTAAAAATAAAAAATAAAATTATCAAAATTCATATTTTTTCATTCTCTACAAATAGAGACCACACTTGATATTTTTTGAAATACAATTGCATTTTTTAGATAAATTAAAATAAATATTATATTTAGGTTGAGTTGGGTTGGGAATAAAGACAAATTTGGTTGTAAGGTTGGGTTGTGTAAGTGGAGGAGAGAAAAATTATTTTTAATTATTAGGTTGAGTTGGGTTGGGTTGGTGATAAGAATAGTCTAACCATTAAGCGGCCAAACAAAAAAAATTCTAAAATATTTCTAAAATTAAAATAGTACGGTATAAAACCCTAATTTTGAAATAGAGATAAAAATAGATTCTAACTGAAAAATTAGGTAACTTGTGGTAGCTTTCCTAGAAGTGTAGGGTATTAAAGCTTTCAAGTCAGGCACAGCTGATTGAAAGGGTCTTGGCAACTACCCAATTGGTGGCATACACAACATAGGACTGCAGATAACCAAACTTCTTATATATAAAAAAAATAATTTGAGGAACTATCCACCAAATGCTTCACTGACATATATAGATGGGGACACCAATAATGAGAAAACCAATGCTTCATCCTAAAGCAAATCACAACACATCCCTTCTCCCACACTCTTAAGAAAAATCAATCTCAAAACCCACCACAAAATAAATAAACACCAATTTAGAAAGAGTTAACAAAACACAATAAAAATGAGAACATGATGAGACTATCACTACAGTAGTGAAGATGCCACCACAACTGTTCCATAGCCATCATCCTCTCCTCACACACAAACCAGCTCCAATACAACCACAAATCTCCCCAAAATCGCATTTCAAAGGTAGAATGAAATTCACCGTAAAGAACCTCATCCTACTCCTCGTTTTTGTTCTATGTGGTGCTTCCCTGCTCAGATTTCTCAACATTAGCACGATAAGTTATAATAATTCACCCGTATCGATATCCCTTCCTCCTCCAATTCACGAGCACCAATCTTCAATTCGTAGGTCTATTTCTAGAGATGCAAACAGCGACCTCACTTATAAGGAGACAAAATTTCTCTCGGAATTACTCTCTCACTCAGTCCCATGCAACCTGCTTATTTTCGGGCAAAAACGTCACTATTCAACCATATCGTCTCTAAATGCTGGTGGATTCACCACCTTCCTCGAGAACCGCCCCGAAAAAACGGACACGTTCAGATCCTCCAACAATACACGAGTTCACAACGTAAAGTACAACACAATGGCATCAGAAGCTTACCAGCTGCTAAAAGATGCGAGAGCAAATCCACACTGCAGGCCAAATCCTGACCAACTGCTAAGATGCAATCTGGCATTGAAAAACCTCCCACCGGAAGTTTATGAGACTATGTGGGATGTTGTGGTTGTGGACGGCCCAAGTGGTGACGCCCCTGATTCGCCTGGAAGAATGGGTCCCATCTACACAGCAGCTGTGCTGGCAAGAAGAAGAAATAGGACCCGTGTTATAGTGCACGATGTTGACCGGATGATTGAAAAGTGGTTCTCGTGGGAGTTTTTGTGCGAGGAGAACTTGGTTTCTGCCAAGGGCAGATTCTGGCATTTTCAAGTGCTTAGAGTAACTAATGCAACAATATTTTGCACAACCACATAAAAGTACATGTTGCATTCAGAACTCAGTCCCCTTTTAGAGATGGTGAGTGCTAAGAGCAATAGCAATAGGATAACTTAATTATCTCCACAGCTGAACAAGCAGGAACATCAAGTAGGGTTCGGGAATTCAGGATCCTGGGTTTTGTTAGAATATATTATAACCTAACACACAGAGTACATACTGAATTAGTTCTCCACCAAAAAGGGGATATCTGATGACACTCTTTTGCAGTTGTCAAGCCACACATGCTTGTTAGAGCCAACTTGCTTGTGTTAATGAGTTCAGTTTCAATATAGAATGATATAGATAGACATGTGACTGAACAGATGCACAGACAAGATTACAATACGCTAAGAAAATATGAGTCAAAACACAAGTTTCAATGTCTCAAATGAAGAACACTTCTAGTTACTTAGATCAGTGTGTCATTGCACAGGAAATCTGATCTGTACGTGAATACTGTGATAGATTTTACCACCCAAAATGGAATGTTGTTTTACATAAATATTCTGAAGTCGTTAACATCAAGAACAAGATTCATCGATATGTTCGATGAATCCAATTTGATGTTGAGAAATACGAGAAAAGAAAAAACATCCGCCAGTCAGTTGACTTCCCATTCTGCAACTCCTTCACATTCATTCAGCTACGGGATCTGGCAAGTGTCAACTGCAAAAAAAAGGTACATGATTGAAGTCCACATTATACCAAGAAAACAAAAGAACCAAATCGTGTTAGGAAAAGAATGAGTTACACAACACTAAAAGAATGAAACAAGAGCAACACAATCGACTCATCTTCAAATTAAAAGAAAGAGACAGTAGCCAGATGAAATCACATGCAATGAACTGCAGGGTTATTCATATCCGGGGATATCCTTTTGAAGTTCCACATATACATATATAGGATGTACTATATGGTATTCAACTAATTTCTCATACTGTATCGATTAGGGGGGGGTGTTACAGCAGTCAATCATGTGAAGTTGATAAGTGAACCAGCAACCAGTCAAGAGAAAGCAAAAATAGAGACTATAGATCCCATTTAGATAAATGCAACTAAAATGGTTTTCCGAGCCTCAACATTAACTCCCCACCATAAGTTGCACGAATAGGACCCTTAATCTGTGTTGGCATGCATAACTAATGGACCGACTTTAACAACCATTTAGATCACCCTCCATTACCAACTAAAAATTCCCACTTGTAATACGCACAAAGGGGGAATCCACTTTAGTTATAGTCAATCTATTCGAAGTGTGCTTCTCTCATTCCCAACCGCCATTCATAAAAAAATTTAAGTTGTAACTAAAAACCAGTATACATACTGGGCCTGTTCCTTCCCTCTTCTACAAGAACAGAACTCCAGGAAACAATTGTAGCTGATTTAACAGTTTCTATGTTATCTTATTCTCATGGAACCATCCTCCAAGTGAACTATGAACTGTACGCATGATGTAGATAGATTAGATAAAAGAAAAATGGGAGCCACAAATTCGATTTATATAGAGTCAAATATATTTATTTATTTTACATTCAGATAGTGTAATATCTCTTGTTCCATCATCTCTATCATACAAGTTGGTGGATTAAAAAAGCAAATATACACAAATTGATTGTGAGAAGAAATAAATCAGCTCGGAGTGGCAGAGGGGCTGATAAGGAAATAGCAGGCTGCAAAACGAAGATGGATAGATGGTGAATAAGATGACTAAGGGAACGGAAATGGTGAACCCCACAAAAACTTTGTGACAAAATTACAGAAAGAGAGGTGTGGGTAGCAGGAAAAATGGAAAATGATGTTTGATAAAAGAAAATCTTCAACAAATCTACTATGTCCACCGCAACTGCTGCAGGTGAGCAAAGGGGAAACGGGAAAAGAGATAGATAAGTGGAGTGCGGTATGCTTTTGCTTCAAGAGGAATATTGGCAAAAAAGACTTTGTAGAAATACTGTTTTTCATCATTTTTACTTTCTAGCGTGATGTCTGTTTGACACTACAAGGATTGTCTTGTTACAGTGATATATCAACTTTCAATACTGTTTAACTCTTGCACCAATTCGTGTCTTAATTCGAAGTTTTAAGTCCATAAATTATTATTAACTTAGGATTTGACTTTTTGTGTGTGTGTGTGTTTGTGTGTGTGTGGGTGTATATATATATATATATATATAGAGAGAGAGAGAGAGATGAAAATAGATTGGAACCGCCATGTGATTGTGTATATTTATCATGCAGGTGAAGTCCGGATTAGGTTGTTATGAGACTATTTTGGGAGATGAAAAGATATGCTTTATAGGATAAATGAAACTAAATTTTCAACTTTATATTGAGGGAATAAAATCGCTGCCTGAGAAGAAAACAAGAGGTCCTGTAGGTAAAATGAACAAATGGTATCGCCAATAAACTAATAATGCAGCACGAGAAAAGCAACAAACTAAGGCTTAAAATGTGTCTCTAATTACTGAACTTTAACTGTATATTTGCTAGATACTACCACATGTTGAAATGAATATGGATGCATCATGAGCAAAGGTTAAACATATCAGAAAAGTATTATTTAAATTCAGAACAAAAAAAAAGGAGTACAATAACTAAATATAGTTATCCCCAGTTCCTGAGGTAGAAATCCAACAACATAGGGTATGTAGCAATCACTCAAACCACAAATAACACATCAAGCCTCAATCTATTAGTGATATTAGACTACATCATCATCATGCATAAATATCCAGAAAACTGTGACTTTGAGTCATGTATGGCAAGCTTTCACTAACCAAGTAGTAGTGCATAATAACTTTGTAGTATATTCCCAGCAAAACATAGATCCAAGGTCATTAAGGTTAGCTTTAGCTCACGAGTTTCAAGCCAGAATTGTAATTAAGGTTAGCTTTAGCCCCAATGTCATTTTAATTCACTAGCCAAAGTAGCAGTGCATCTTAATTTTGTAATATGTTCCCAGCAAAACATAGACCAACAAATGTGAGCCAACTTCCTTTATATCACTGGTTTCGAGTTAGAATTATCAATAATGGGGAAATCTGCTGCATTAATGTGACCTTGGAGCTAAGTTAGCGTAGATGACAATTTGCTACAAGTTAAGTCCTGGTGAAGTTCATCCAATAGATCTTAGCTACTTTTACTTGACACAAGTATAATTACAAATGCAAGAATGTGATGACTAGACGAGGAAAACAGTGTTAGAACCCTACAGAACACAATACACAATACAGTTTAAGTGTTAAACATAAAAAATAAAACATCCACATATCCCTAACATAACATTAGAACCCTACATAACACAATACAGTTCTATCGAATGACCATTCGACCGGCGATGCTTTATGGATCCGAGTGTTGGGCTACTAAATATGAAAATGATCAAAAAATGCGAGTGGCATAGATGAGAATGTTGAGATGGATGTGCGGGCATACTAGGTTAGATAAGATTGGAAATGAAAGTATTAGAAATAAAGTTGGAGTAGCTCCCATAGAGAAGAAAATGAGAGAATCACGATTAAGATGGTTAGGGCATGTGCATAGGAGAGACTTCGAGGCACCGATGAGAAGGGTAGAAACATTATAATTAAGAACACAAATTAAAATGGGGAAGGGTAGACCGAAAAAAACTTGGAATGAGACAATAAAAAATGAATTAAATTATTTAAATTTGAATGAGGATATGTGTTTTGATTTAGCACGATGGCGATATGTGATCCATATAGCCGATCCCACTTAGTGGATTTTAACGCTTGTTGATTTGTTGATTGATTGATTGATTTCCCTAACATAACATCACATGTTTAAAACCAAATTTTCCCAAATAGTTCTCTGGATTAACAATCAGTTGTACTTGTATATAATGGAAATACAAAACATAATCCCATTACAAATTGATCAATAAATGCAATCTCAGAATCACTGTCATTATAAGCTTCGGCAGATTTTCAATGTTTTGACTAAAGAGTATTTTACAATTTCATGATAACATCGCATTCCTACATATTTGAACATATAAGCCAATAACCTGGCAGAGCTTGCTAAACTACATCATTATCTCAATAGGAAATAAAATTCAGTCCACCATTAGTAACTTATGGGTTCAACATGAATACTGCAGAAACCAGACCAAGAAATATCATTGTTACTTTTATTGCACAGAGCTTTAAACAAGTTCTCGTTGTACAGAACCAGTAAAATTCACACACAAAAATAGCCGCAAAGCCCTCTAGGGTATGAAAACTAGGCTTAACTCTATTAAGCCTTGCCCTGTCTGAACCCAAGTAAACTAGGGTATGAAAATCTAGGGATTTTAAAATTCTTCTATTAAGAAATTTAAATCAATAAGCCACCAAGGCTTGCATATTGAAAGTGTAAAATTGTATGTCCAACACTGTAAGTATGTTGTGCAATCCTTACAAGTATTTCAAAGGCAACACTCAGTCACACTCAAAACCGTGTGCTCAACTCACAGCCTTTATCAAGCTCGCAAAAAATCTAACACTTATGTCTTGCACAAGCTAGAACGGCAATGGAACAGAAGAGAATAATCACACAGAAACATCGAACAAGAAGTACGTTCCAACAGAAGAAAAAAGAATGGCGTCAAAGGATGGAATTAAACATCAAGCAGAAAAGGTAATGCCATGTAACACGATAAATAATACTATATATATAATCAACAAGGACCACAGAATAGTATTGGACATCAACAACTTCAATTTCCATGAAATAAAAGCTTAACCAAAGCCATCTGGTCTAAATACCCTCTATTTTCTTGCTTTACAGTAAAGTAAAACTAATAACTATACGAGTATATATTTCACACTCATGTTTCAGGTCCACAACATATTTGATTCAAGAATACGGGAAAAAGACCATTATTTATTCGCCGTTTCTTGCATTGAAATCCAATCCATATAAACAGAGTGATATAATAGTATCGTTGTATGATTTCTGCTGGGAGAAGGGAAGGCATCAGAGGAACTCCCGATAAGGAACATATTAAGTTAGAAAGTAATTGGTTATTCCTGTACAAATGTCAATCACATAATTCTAAATCATACTTGCACTTGGAAAACAACATTCTTTGGTCATTAACATGGGAAATACATCTTTTTTGAACACAAGTATAATAAGTGTAAAAACTCTTAGTATGGCCCAGGGAAACATACAACCACATAATTCTTTTCTCTGGAAAGTATAAGACAAGATTTTTCAGACAACAGGAAGAGTGACATTTCAAGTAAATCAGACAAAAGGTTACCTTTAGTGTAAATACACAACTACTGCACATATAAGTGCATTATTCAATTAAACTGAAATATAACTACCGTAAATGAAGGGGCATAGATCAACATGACACCATCCTAAATAATACTAGCTCAGTTATTATAGCATAATCACCGAAAAGGCTTAGCATAAATTAGGGGATCTCAAATCTTGAATCAGAACGGCGGAATTACCCTTGTCCGTCCAGGCTGCCATGTCCGCTGCTTCCGCCACCACCACTTGCATACGAGCCATCCTCTGTGGTGGTTTGCCACACGGACTGCCACGCCTGAGAAGGTGGCAAAGCCTGCGCATAAACACCAGGATCCACCCCAGGCACAGCTGGCCGGCCCATCATTGGCTGCCCCATGGGCGGGTAATAGTAGGGCACGCCGGTAACGCCGGCCGCTCCGGCTGGTGGGACCACAATCCCCTCGAGGGTAGCCACCTCATCCTTGATTTCATCCCTCGGCACAATATCCACAAGAAAATCAAATATGTCAGTGCGAGTGATGGCGGCGGCTATGTCATTCTTCTGGAGGGTACGGCGCTTGTTCTCCTCCGCGTGGAGCCACGATCTCATGGTGAGCTCGAGTATGAAGAGCTCGCACGCCTTGGCGAAGAGTATCGGGGCCTCCGCCGATATCATGCGCACGTCCTCGTCGGCCTTCATGATTTTCTTAATGCGGGCCAGCGGGAGCTGGTGGTTTTTGAAATCGTTCACCTGCTCGATCTCCTGGCGCTGGAAATTCCAGAACATCTGAAGCTGCTGCTGCTGATGCTCGAGGAGGGGGTGGTACGGAGGCTGCGGCGGGTACCCCGCCGCCGCCTGAGGTGGCGCCGCGCCTTGCTGCAGGTTGTTTTGTTCCATGGTTCGTCTGCTGCTGCCCAATTGGGGAAAGGAAATATAAATTGGGGAAAGGATGAACGTCAATTTTATGAAGGAGAAAACGCTGACCCGACAGTAAAATTGCAAATTTATTCCTAAAATATGTCCTTCTATTTATTCATTTTTTTTTTTTTTTATTTTATCCCTACTTTGAAGTTTGAACAAGGTTCTCAAAATCAAATTTGTTATCGAATTGGTCAAGTTAATTGTTCAATCGTTGGTTCAAAGGGCTGAGCATGGGATTCGGAGAATTTTGAACTGTTTCGAAAACCGAACCGAATCACTCAGAACCGAAAATAACCGTTGATCGTTTGACTTTCTCCGAACCGAACCAAACTGAAAAAATAATTGGTACGGTTCTGGAGATTTCACAAATATCTGTACCGAGAACCGAACCGAACCGTCCCATACTGCACCGAACCGAAGAACCGAATTATATCATTAGATGTGTTATTAATATATTTTATGTCAACTTTGATTTCATATAATATAGTAATAAATATTAACCCTTCACTTAAATTTCATGCTTAGTAATACGTGATTTACAATTGAATTTTTTCTATCATAAAATAATTATTTAAAATAATATGAAAGTTTAAAGAATATTTTTTTAAGAAAAAAAATAGTATATTTCATTTGAATTTTAATTTTTTAATATTAGTTGCACAAATTTAGCTATAACTAAAATTTAGAGTTACTTATAAAGTTGATTTCAAAAAAAAAAAAATCTTCAGTGTAAGGAAGTACTGATGAATGTTGGTTTTATTAAAGCATATATAAAATAAAATAACTAAAATTTAGAGTTACTTCTAGAATTGATTTCAAAATAAAATCTTCAATATGATGAATTATTGGTGAATGTTGTTTTTTTAAAGCATATAAAAATTAAAATATAACTAGGTAGTCATTCAAAAATAATTTAAAAAAATAAAAAATCTCCGAAGATCTGAACCAAACCATACCGAACCGAACCGTCCCAATAGTCATGAATACCGAACCGAACCGAAAAATAAAATTTCCAAACCGAACCGAACCCACTTTTTGGTACGGTTCCGGAGATCGAATTTTTTGACCTCCGAAGTTTGGTACGGTTCTGAAGATTTATCAATCTCCGAACCGCACCGACCCATGCTCACCCCTTCAATCAATGGTTGAACCAACTACACAATTATTTATTTTGTGATGTTTTAAAATATATAATATTTTATATAATAAAATTTATATATAAAAACTTTTTTAATTAAATATATAGACAAATTAAAACATTCAAATACTTGAACTAACTATTAACTAACTCATATATCTCCGTCTTCAAATAGATGTTATTGTCTTCCTGGTCAGACGAGTGACTCTTGGTTCAAAAGAAGGCAGGAATCAAAGCTCCTCGTATCTCTTTCCGTTAAGGTGGAAACGTCTTCTTGATCAGTCTTTGTTGGGGTATCACAACAAGCATAGCCAAAAAAAGTACCCATCCAACAAATATGGCATACACTACTCCAAATGAAAATAAGCCAACACAAATAAATAAAAGACGAGAAATAAAAAGAACACAAAAATTGATAACGAAGTTCAGCGAAAATAACCTACGTCTCCGGGCACCGCCAACCACAATGTCAAATTTACTAAACTCACCAACAAAAACAACTAGGATTAGATAACCCACAAATTAGGATTTCCATAATTAAGGATTTTCTTCTAAATAGGAGAGAATAGAATAAGGTGCAATTGTAACCCAAAGGCAAGGGACCTATTTATACTAATAAGATCCTACACATCTTTTGCATACATCCGATGTGGGACATAAAACTAATCAAAAATCTACCAATTCTCCACCTTGACTAATTTTGCTCCCACTCCCAACTCAACTGCTAGCGGTGCCTCCAAAGGCGCCTCTCGGCGCCAACTCAAATATGTGGAATGTTGGTCAAGTCTAAACAATGTTCAATCTTGACTGTTGTCACTACCTTGGTCATCATATCTGCAGGATTCTCCGCTGTCTTGATCTTCTTCAACACAACTGTTCCATCTTCTAGAATCTCCCACACAAAGTGATAGCGAACATCAATATGCTTCGTTCTTGCATGAAATACTTGATTTTTCGCTAAGTGAATAGCGCTCTGACTATCATAATGCACTAAGCGTGCTTTTGACCACTCCCAAGTGTTCAAGCAAACTTTGAAGCCAAATATATTCATTCACAGCTTCAGTAACTGCAATATACTCTGCCTCTGTTGTAGACAAAGCAACCGTTGACTGTAAGGTAGACTTCCAACTGACTGGAGCTTTTGCAAAAGTGAACAAATATCCAGTATCATTTGCATAGTCAGAATCACAATATCCAACTACACATTGACCAACTTCATTATGCTTTTAAACTAATCCAACGTCTACAGTACTATGAATGTACCGTAGAATCCATTTCACAGCTTGCCAATGACCTTTGCCAGGGTCATGCATATACCTGCTAACAACACCAACTGCTTGTGAAATGTCAGGCCTTGTACACACCATCGCATACATCAAACTGCCAACTGCATTTGCATATGGGACTCTAGCCATGTACTTTCGTTCTTCAGCACAATTTGGCGATAACTGGGCACTTAACTTAAAATGAGGGGAAAGTGGTGTACTTACAGGCTTCGACTCATCTTTTATGCCAAAACGTTGTAGTACCTTATTCAGATATTGCTTCTGAGTTAAACAAAGTTTGCCTCTCATTCTGTCCCTGCTTATCTCAATCCCGAGTATCTTCTTAGCTTCCCCCAAGTCTTTCATCTCAAACTCTTGATTCAACTGAGCCTTCAATTTATCAATCACTACTTGGCTCTTTGATGCAACCAACATGTCATCCACATATAAGAGTAAGTAAATGAAAGATCCATCTTGCAGCTTGCGTATGATCATGTCTGCTTCGCGTGTACTTCTGCCCAATCATAAACTTATCAAACCGTTTGTACCACTGGCTCGGAGATTTCTTCAGTCTGTACAACAATTTGTTCAACTTATAGACCCAATTATCTTTTTCAAGAATTTTGAATCCGTGTAAGAACACGGTCTTCACGTCAAGTTGACCTAGCTCTAAATCCAACTGTGCTGTTAGGGCCAAAAAAATTCTAATGGAAGAGTGTTTAACAACTGGAGAAAACACTTCATTATAATCAACTCATTCCTTCTGACCGTAGCCTTTAGCCACCAACCTTGCCTTATAGCGCACATCATTCTTCTGAGGAAATCCATCTTTCTTTGCAAATACCCACTTGCATCCTATCGACCTCTTGCCTTTTGGTAATTGCATCACCTTCCAAGTTTGATTCTTTTGGAGAGACAACATTTCTTCCTCCATAGACCATTTCAACAATTGGAAGTGCATAAGCCACCATATCCGCCAATCGAGCAGGTTGTTGAATCTCTCGTCTATGCTTTCTCAATGCAATGGGTAAATCTAATGATTCTTGAGTCTGAACTTCATCATCCGACGAATCCTTTGATATTGTTTCGTCGATCATAGTTGGTTGTCTCGTCATTGCATCTATCTCCACCTGCTTCGGTGTCAACTCCACCTGTTGTGTTTGCGTCGTCTTCATCATACCTTGTTCATCAAATGTAACATCCCTGCTAAACACAGTTTTGTTCGTCTCAAGACACAAAAGACGATATCCTTTCACGCCAATTGTGATTCCCATGAACAAAGCCTTTTTCGCTCTTGGATCTAACTTTGAGTCCTTCACATAATAGAACGTAGGACACCCAAAAACATGTAAATATCCATAGTCAGCAACAGGTTTTCCCGACCATACCTCCAGTGGTGTTTTACCATCTTTTGCAGCTGACGGCAATCAATTTATGAGGTGTTGTGTGCGTATGTTACAGCCTCAGCCCAGTATTCCTTGCCCAAACCAGCATTGGATAACATACATCGAACTTTCTCCACCAATGTTCAAGTCATGCGCTCCGCCACCCCATTTTGTTGTGGTGTTCGTCTAACGGTGAAGTGTCTAACAATGCCATTTTTACGGCAAACTCCTTGAAAGGGATCACTTGTATATTCTCCATTATTGTCCGTTCGTAGGATCTTGATCTTCCTTCTAGTGTGATTCTCAATTTGTGTCTTCCATGTAATGAAGACGCCAAACACTTCATCATTCGTCTTCATAGTGTACACCCAAACACGCTTGGAAAAGTCATCGATGAAAGTGACAAAATAGCGTCTTCCACCTAATGATGGGGCCTTAGATGGTCCCCAAACATCTGAATGAACAAAATCTAAGACACTTTCGGTATTATGGATAGCCGTTCCAAACTCACTCTCTTCTGCTTTCCCAGAACACAATGCTCACAAAAGTCTAATTTGCACACTTTGACATCTTTCAACAGTCCTTGTTTTGCCAATGTTTGCAAGGACTTTTCACCAGCATGTCCCAAACGCATATGCCACAACTTGACTGCTTCAGACTCCTTGTTGGTGGAATCTGCTATTGTCACTGTCCCAACGACTATATCACCTTCATAGTAATACATGTTATTTCTTCTGATGCCTTTCATCACCACGAGAGAGCCGGATGTAGCTTTCATAACTCCACCTTGCAAAGTCACTACCAAGCCTTTGGATTCCAAGGCTCCTAATGAGATGAGTTTTTTCTTCAAACTCGGCACGTACCGAACATCCATCAAAACTCTGGTGGGACCATCTCGATTCTTCAAACGGATTGAACCTATCCCAGTTGTCTTACAGACATTATCATTACCCATATAGAAAACCCCTCCATTGATCTCCTGAAAAATGAAGAACCACTCCCTAATTGAAGACATATGGTAGGTGCATCCTGAATCCACAATCCATTCGCCTGGATGAGATGATGAAGGTGAAACCACAAGTGAAATTCTGAGTCTTCACTTCCACCCTCAGCAACATATGCATCTTGAGGAGATTTGCCCTTCTTCTTCAACTTAGGTCAGTCTTTCTTCCAGTGTCCCTTCTCATG